CAAAATCCTTTTTCATATTATCACTTGCTAATGAAAGCAGCTTTTAACAAGCACTACAATCATGACAAGGCTGGTAGTTTTTTTGCAGAGACCATTTGAGTCTCTGATTCCATTTTCAGTTAAATACTTCCAATAAAGTTCTGCTAAGCATCCTTCAACATTTCTTCCTAAAGACGTTATTTACTGAAGAATTGCCAACAGAATAGCTATTCTCACATTTTTTGCTTTTATTAAAACAATACCCTAAATCACTTTCTCTAAGTAATTGACACTTTTCACTAGTGCTCAAATGCCAGAAACTTGGGAGGCAAATGGGCTTTTGTTTTGACAGTTTGCTTTGGAGGGAGGGGTATTGATTTCTTCAAAGAAAATATTGCCCCAGGAGTCTAAATTGGATGGGTTGTTAGACCTGCATTTCACAGCTCCTTCCCTAGCCCATCCCTAACATGCTTAAAATTCTCCACAGCAATTGTTTGTGTTAAAATATTCTGAAGAGCTCCTTTCTCGGAGTAGTTTGAGACAATATGGAGGGGCCTGGGCATGCATAAACTAGAGCATTTGTAGGAACCCGTATCACTGTAAGCTTGGCGATACAGTGTGCTTTACAGCTCATGTCCTCCTGGGGTCTCAGGAGCTAATGGACTTAACAAGTCCATCTGACACAGTTTCTTTTTGAGATATCATTAGGGCAGCTTTTTTTCTAAGTGTTTGTTTGTTGCTATTGAATAATTTCTTCCCCCTTCTCCAAAGCCTTGTGACATTCCTGAAGACGGATTTACCAACTGCCCCGGATTCAAATTTCACTCCCACTTTTAAATTTAGAATATAAAAGCCTTTAGAATTTGTGTGCAACTACACAGACATTTAAAAAAAAAAGAGCTTTTGTGACATTCTTAGACTCTGCATAAACTATACCAACAAAACCAGTGGCAAGAAGTTTGACTCATAGATAATGAAAAGTACCCTTCCTCATTCCTGTTCATGGTCACTCACTCTCCCACCATTTCTTACAATTACTTATCTGCTCCACATTGGGCAAGTTCAGGGAGCCAAACAGATAGAAAGACTGCTTTATAGGGTTTTTTATTTTATTTTGGGACAAGCAATTAACTATCTTTCTGAAAAATATTATAGTACACAAAAGGATTTAAACCACAAGTAGGAATTTTACAAGTTCCCCAACATAACCTCCAATGAAAATATAAATACAATCCCTCTCTGTCTCCTAGGATTCTGAACAAGCATAGAAACATGCAGTGGATATTCCTCAAGTAAAAAGCATACTTTTTTTTTTTTTTTCAATACACATGGCCTCAGAAATATCCTCAGAAAAAATGGTATACAATATTCAGAGTTTAAACTATTTTTCTCTTGCCCATTTTTAGCTTCTGAGTTGATTATTCCTCTCCTACCTGTTTCCAAAGTTGTTTTCTGATCTCCCTCCTAATTCTGGCTTTTTCTGTAGCAGATTTTCCTGCCAGTGTTTGCATCCTCTACATGTCTGTTTATTAAAAGGATATTTTCAAGATGTGCTCTATTAAAGATGTGTAAAGAAGGAGGATAGCACATGATGAAGTGAACTTAGAAAGCATGTCCAAGGCTGGTCAGTGTGCATGTGTCTTTAATCTTAAATCAGAACTATACTATGCAAGCATGTTGATTAAAAATGTTACATCCTTTATCAACATAGTTACAGTAGGAAATGTCCTATGTATATATAGTTATATACTAGATGTATGTATTTATATTTTTTTTTCCATTGGTATTGCTTGTTTCATCTGGAGAACTGAGGTACCAGGAAGTAGACACCTGAACTCCACTAGGAGTTTACCTCATGTACCTTCTTCACTTAGATAAGATGTTTTTCTGGCTTAGCTTTACACATGTAAGTAGTTTATTGGCCTTATCCCATAAGGATACTCATTTGTAGTGATAAGAGAGCCTATCAAAAGAGGAAATAAAGATCATTAGCCAAAGTGGAACACTGTGTACCTTAGAATGAAGAGTTGGAACATTTCAAATGAAGAGGGTCAAATCAAATCAATTATAGTATGTAAAACAGTACACTGAGATGCATTAGCAGTTTCATAGTAGACACAGACAAGTTAATTTCTTTCCTATAGTGCATGAAAGCCATGTATGAAGACGCTTCTTCCAGTTTCATCTGTAGCAATACTTAGACTTGCCTGAGAGATGTAAGTATGCTTCACATGAAAAAAAAAAAAAAAAAAAATAGCAGCTTCCTTCTCATAAAGCCCAAACCACCAGGTACTTCATCTATTTGGGATGCTTACGAGATTTCACATACAATAGTTTATGTTGCAGAACACCTTGTCAGCACCAATTTATATTCTGAATGTACACAACCTGAACATCAAGTCCCAGAAAATCCACAAGAATCTCCAATTAAATACACGTTTCCCCAAGCCACATAACATCCTGAACTGAAACCTTTTTTAGAAAAAAAAAAAACAAAACCACAACAAACACCCCCCCCGCAACCCCTAAAGTTATTCTAATGCAAAAGAAGGCAAAGTATTCTCATACATTTTTCATCCCCAGCTACCAATTACAATTCCCAGAAAACCCTTTTGCTGACCCAATTGCCTATCTTCCACCAGTAAAATAGCTCTCCCAACCTCTGTAGCCATGGGGAAGTGAACTTGCATGTATAAGAACAGCTCCACACCTGCTGAAAAACCCACAGCAAAGCCGGCATTTTGACTCCACTACCTTGCCCTTCTTCAGGTAGTAAAGCAAGAGACACAAGGGAAGATGGTCTATATTTTCTTCCTCAGTTCTTTTCTGTCTGCTTTTTGCATGTATAAAACTTCTTTGGTCCATCATAGCATTTTTGCCATTCAAAATCTTCTGATAGATTTCTGGTCTACTTTCCAGAACCCTTGACACACCAAGGCAGATAGAAGGCTGACAAGCTTTTTTTTTCAGTTCCCTTTCTCATTGACATATATGAACACCTTCATGCTTTCTTCATTAATAAGCTGTTGAACAGTGAGCATACATTTCTGCTTTTCCGTATTTTATTTGTGACTGGTGGGGAAAGCAGGAGCATTCATAGGCTCTCAGTGGAATACAGCAGTTGTCCATTGTTTCTTCAGAGACAATGTCCAGAGTAGTATAGGATTGCAATTACAAATGTGAAGAGAGAAAAGAATAAAGCTTGAGAGCTTTGGGGAAGAAAAATGGTGGAGTTGATGATAGATACTATCTACTCATAAGTGACACTCTGCGCAGCTGTGAAAGAAGTGCAAAGAATTTAAAAACAGAACCAGTGATATTCAGCTCCTGAAATCCAAGGACAATTAGCACTTTATCAAGAGTTTAGACTAAGGACTTCATGGTAAAATGGCTCATCTTAATCCAAACGAATCTTAATCCAGGCCATTGTAATTTAAATATAGGACAATCTAACTGTCCTGTTAGCTTCATTGGGTTTCTGACACAGCACTGGTATGGTTGTGCTGCACTAGTATTACTCTGTACCACTGTGGCTCATGTACAAAGCAGCAAAGTCTTAATAACACAGAGGGCAAATACCTATTTAGAAGAGTATCTCAAAAAGAAGGTTCAAATGAGCAACCTGCGTATTAGTTTAGTTAGCACAATTTTATAGGGACTCAATGTTGTCAGTGTTTTTTCCTGTATCTGGTTTCCCCAGCTTTCTACTTGATATAACCCACCAATAAAAGTCAATTAAAACAAAACTGTATTTTTATGTAATCTAGGTAATGCAGCAACCATTTGAACACAAACTATTTACAAGGTGTAGTCCAACAGCGATTCAGATAAAGATATTTAGTTATCTATGGTTAAGCAAATAAAACCCAAGATGCAGGTATCAGTGAAAAATGTTTTACGGTATCACCTCTATATAACTTACTCTTCATTTTGAAAACATTTTATTTGGATTCAGAGACAGTATTTTCCACCCAAATCTTACTGTGTTTATCTTATGTGCTAGGCAGAATATACCTGAATACACTGTTTCTCACCTTCCATTCTCTGTGGCACGCAAAATCCATGGAACGTGATTCTCATGTCCCAAATTAGTATTAACAGTACAAGTACAGAAAAATATTGGTAGGATTTTCAGCTGATCATATTTTCTGAGTTGGGACTGAGTTTAGAGATGATTTATTGAAAATTGAAAATTACATTGAAAATGTCAGCCAAGCTGGAGGTCTGTTCTTAGATCCAAAGATAAAAGGACTGAAAATAATAGCATCAAGCAAATAAAATACATTCCAATTAAACAGTGACTCTTCAAATTCAGCAGTGTTATTAATATAAGATTGCTTTTGGGAAAGTCACAAAGTTCAGAACACAAGAGTTAGAGCATTCATAGAAATTAACGTAAATTACACTGAATTTAGACTAAGTCTTTGCTTTTCACTGATTCCAATTTCATGAAGAACACTCTGTGTGCTTTAAAACTTGGTTTCAGCTGCATCAGATGGTTTGATAATACTACTTTTCTCTTTAAACTATGTTCTTTCACTAATTCAGCAATGCACTGCAAAGCAGAGAATGCTAAGTTCATATGTGTAGTTTACAGTGTTTATTTTCGATGGTGCTAGCTAATATAGCTACCAATCATAATCAGGAGAATAGCATATTGTAAACTGGAATAGGTTTTGTATAACCATAAGGCCCTATTTCTGTTTCACTTCTGTAAAAAGCTTTTTTTCGGGAAGCAACAGTAATGCAAGGTTTCAAGGAATTGCAAGGCTTTGCACGGAGCCAGATGCAGAAGCCACAGTCCCAGACACTGAAAATGAACTAGGTAACCCCATGGGGGCAGGGGAAAACCACACTGCTAAGCAGCGTGCAGGGCAGTATTATGAAATCAGGACAGAGTACAGTAAACCCCCTGAAAACGGGTCAGTGGACTTTATCATAAGCTTTCTTCATCTACGTTGGGTGGGAGAAGGGGAAGGGAAAGGGAGAGGACATGTATTAATACGTAACGCCGTACTCACCAATTTTGGCCAAGCTGGCCACAAGTATCCAGAGTGTAATGATATAAGGGTCCTTGACGTGTTTCCATGCGAAAGAGACGATGGCAAAGCTTGTAGGGTGGCTGCTATTCGCGGAGCTTCCCGAGCTTCTCTGTCCCAGCGCCGCTGGGAGAGCCATCAGCCCCAGGAGGAACCCCACTCCAGATACCTGCCTCATCTCCAAGCCACACAACAAAATC